TGCCAGTGCATCGAAAGCGGACGAATTCGACGACCTTGACGGCCAACGCACGCCCGAACTCGAAACAACTTTTGTGGCACGAAAGCAAGTGTTTTTGCCGCATTTGACCCCCGCGAGGTAGTGTTTGGACCTCTTCGACGTGCTTTTCGAGTGAGCACGTACCCCACACAGCTGGCGAGTTCTTTGGAGTTGTTGGAGTCATTGGAGGAGTAGAGATCAGGCTGGTTGCCGAATGTGTGTACGGAAATGGGGGTGTGTGGTGGTAGTGGTTGTGGCCCGTGGAGGGGTGGCGTGGGAAAGAGGGTGGTGGCAGCAGCCAAGGGGAGATAGCAGCAGAACCAGAGGAGCAGACTCGGGAACCACCACATTGCAGACTGGGGGCGACGCCGGGGTGTCGTCGGTCTGACCCGACACCCAGAATTTAGTTTGACTCCATGTGTTCATCCAGGTCTGCCACCATGTTGGCATGGGGGCTTGGGCCGAGGGCCGATGGTTCGGCGTTGTCGGCAGCAAGGGGGAGTGGCTGGTCGGTATAGGCTGTCATGGGAGCAGGTGGGGAGGGATTGGCAGGTAGGGGCCCAAGGCCTGCCAGAGCAGTCATTTGGGAGGAAACAGATTGCATCGCTTGCAGGAGGGTGTGTATGCTGGATTCCAGGTAGGGGAGGCGTGCAGCTAGGGCGGCCTGTTGTGACTCGTGTTGCGCTACAGCTGTGAGTAAGCGGATTTGGGCCTCGGTTCGTGATTTGTTGTCCTCTGCCTGGAGTACTTCAGCTGCTTCACGGAGGCGTCATTCTTGGAGGAGGCGCGCGTCGAGGGTAGAGAATGCAGTGCTGGAAGAAGAGACAAGGGCTGCAAGGGCTTCTTTGTCAGCCCGTAAGGACTCGACCTCGTGACGTAGTGGGGCCGTTGCCGTTACGATGCGTTGATCCACGTAGGTAGAGAGTTCACGACGTAGGTAGAGACTGAGATCGGCGGTGGGTCTAGGTGCCTGGGCCGGGTGGCGCTGAAGGGGTAGTTGCCAGGCCTGGGGTAGGCGTTCCTCCGGGGCCGAGTGTTGGGAGGCAGAGCGGGAGTATTGTCCCACGCGGTGATGGCTACTTTTACCGCGTGCGTGCGTGTCGGGGCTGCGCGTGTTCGCGTGTGCAGAAGGTTTGTGCTGGGATTTGCTGCGGGCCCGATCGCGAGGGTCAAGATAGGTGAAACGGTCGCAGGGTTGGCCTTGGTGGTCATGTCTACCGCAGTCGCGGCACTGTACATGCGCAGCTGACGGGCGGGGGCGACCGGTTAGGATGTGCAGATGAACGGCGATGTCCCGAATATAGAGTCTAGTGTCCCCATGGGGGCCTGAGGCAGACCAGAGGAAGGCAACGGGGGCTGGGGTATCGAAGGTGAGGGTGGCATATCCATCCCCGGTGATGTCGACGTCTGGGGTGGGAAGGCGGGATCCACGGAGCGTCGCGAGGATGTCGTCTGTAGTCGTGAGGGGTGGGAGGCGGCCAATGCGCACTTTGGTGTCCACCAGTGTGGCGGCACTCGGGGCTTGCGGGTGGAAGAAGGTGGCCGTGGGGTTGTCCCAGCAGAGATCCCGTAGGGGGAGGAGCTTCATGGAGGGAGGGACCAATTCAAGTCTGTCGGGGCCCGCTACATGTCGGCGAAAGTTGGCGTATACTGTTTCCGCCATGCTTTGGCTGGGAAAGACGAGGCGGAAGCGGTATTGACCTTCGGAGGGCCAGTTGAGACAGCCAATGGCAGCCCAGTGGTCCCGTGGTCCATGTAATCCCGACATACGGGTGTGGCTTTGGACGATTGCATGTGTTGCTCCAAGGGCGCGAAGAGCACACATGAGATCTCCGGGGGTGGTTTTAGAGGGGTTGCGGTATTCGAGCTGGTGAAAGGAGAGGCCGTTGTCGAGCACACCAGCGTATTGGTATACCATGACCACGGAGATGTCACGAAGGAAGAGGTATCTGCGACGTGGAGGTGCCCATGCCTGGACTGTACGTTGGAGGGGGTCACCGAGGAGCTGCTGGCCATGTTCCATGAGGCCGCCACGGAAGGTAAGCCCGTAGCGTTCCTGACAGATGTCCTCAAGCTCGCGCCGGTAGTTGAGTATGCTAAGTGTTTCCTCCGGGTGCTGTAGTGATGGGTTGATTGAGAATTGGATTCGTACTTTTGCATCAGCAAAGTGGCGCTCGACATCTGCAATATCGTCGGCATTGAATCCTTGGAAACGGTGCGCCTCATGATCCCAGTACCGTTGCATGGTGCGATACATGATCGGCTGGCCTTCGTCGTGTAGGGTTCGGATACCCGGAAATTGAAGAGCTGTGTTGGTGTCATACTCCTCTTGGTCGTCGTCATCAATGTTTTGGTCAGTTGCCCCTTGCTCGTTCGGTGCTAGTTCGTAGGGAATCGGTTGGTGTTGTGGGGTGGGCGGGTAGCGCATGTCGTGGTGCCGCTTGGTCGGTGGAAAGTAGAAAGAGGGGTGGAAAAAATCAAGGTCGGGTTCAATATCGGAGTAGTGGCGTTTGGCTGGCTGTGGACGAGGTGGGTGTTCAGTGGAGCCAGTAGGAGGGGTGATATGGGTGTGGGACTGTCCAGATTGCTGTACGGCTAGTGGGTTTGGCGGCCCGGTGCTGTCGTTGTTGGCATGTTGGATGGTTGTCTCGGTGGGGTTGATCGCGGTATGCTGCATATTGGAGTGTGATGTTTCCTGACTGGGGTGGAGATAGTCGGTGTGGGGAGGGTACGTGGTGGACCAGAACGTGATGCGTGGGGGGTCCGGGGTTGGTAGCAGGGTAGCAGAAGTGAAATCCACGTCGCCAGGTTCGGAGGTGTGGGCTGGCTTGGGCTGGAGGGGAGAGAAGGCTGGACGTGTGGAAGAGGAGGCTGGACGCGTGTACGGGTTAATCGTGGTCGTGAGAGCTGTTGCGCGGACTGAGGGAGGACCGGCTCGCGTGGGTGAGAGGGCAGTGTCGGCGGGCTGGGGTGGCTGCGAGTGATGTGGCCCATGGGATGGGATGGGAGGGATGGGTGCAGCGGGAGGCCCATGGAGGGCAGTAATGGGTGTATTGATGGGTGCGGTGTCGCTGGGAAGCGTGATAGGATGGGGCACCATAGCACAGGTATTAGCGTTTTGCCGCCAGATATCAGGAAGGAAGCTCTGTGTAGTAGGACCTTTGGCTGGCTTGGGAGGGTGGAGGGCTACAGGAGCCGGAGAGCGTAGCGTATTTGGACTATCCGAGATTGGTGGTGCCTTGCCTGCGCGATGGGAGGGGTATGGAACATGGGGCAGTCTGGGGCGGATGGGCCGGTCGTCATCTGAGAGAGGGGTGGCCTGGGGGTGCGTTGTGTGACACCTGGCGAGGGGCCGGTTGTGCCTGGCCGGGTGGGTCGTGGATGTGCGTGCCGCTTTCGATCAGCAGCCCGTTTGGTGCTGTGGCGGTCGTGGCGAGCCAGGAACGTGTCTGCTGCACGTTTTGACCGTAGTTGGCGGGCGGTGAGCGGCGTGTCAGCCGGGCATTCTGTGGTATCGGCGGCAGAGTCATTTTCGGACGAGGATGGTTGAGGTTGGCGGATAATGCCCGTAGCCGGCACTAAGATGACTGTGGGGACGCCGTTGCGTTGTACGTAAACAGTGGCCATAGGGGTTGGCATAGTCGAGGTGTCTGAAAGTGTCGAATTTATTGACTGCTGCTTGCCGGGGTCCGGCGGTAGCGAGGGCATGTTCGTTGATGTAGCCTTTGGTGTGCTCGGGGCGCCGCGACCCCCTTGTGAGTTACCAGGTATATTTGGGAATTTATAATAGTATACATATAATCCGTCAAATTTTCACTGTATGTACCCGATATCCCGCTGAATGAATTTTGACAAATGCATTTTGGAAAGACCGCCTACTCAAATTGCACTTCGTAGAATTTTCAGCTATTCTCGATCGGTACATTCATTCACCTGTACATTGGAATACTACGTAGTACTCATACAAACGTTAGAACATAGCTTACTGTTAATAAGGGCCTGTTCCAAGTAGATATTTTTAGCAAATGACAAAGTGGTTCCAAGTGCTAGTTTCCTACGTAGTACTTTTTTACCTCTTTTTCTGTGATTTTTTACGCAACTCACTATACCAAAAGTAGAATAAGAGGTCTTTTTCTAAATCGCGAAAGAAATGGTAAATCGATTTTGATTGGCTCATGCTATTTCTGTTTTACTGTTAATCCCCTTCGCTGAAATTTGGACTTGCAGATACGTAGATTGTACGTACTTCGAAGTAAGACGGAAACGATTCTGATTGGCTCCATCCCAAAACTCCAAAACTCATTTTCAATCCATCATGGAGGCGACGGTGGCCAACACTGACGGTTCGCGAGAGGAGATCAAGCTCCATGCGCTCGCGTTCGTTCGCAGCTGCAACCGGAAGCACCGAAGAGCCCTACATGACCATCTCGCTGACAAGTCTGACGTCCGTCCTCATTACCCGCGTGAGTCAGACGTCACCCAGCCGATACCTCAACTCCTGGCTACGTATACCACGTGGGTCTCGAGTTCCAACGTAGAGACCGCCCTGCTTTTTGAGCGGTCGCTAGAGCAGTCTCTTGTCCAGATAGCGCACAGTGTGTTGCACGGGAACCTCCTTGTCTCGGCACTGGTCGAGGATCTTGTAGCTTCCGTCCCATTCCCCGCCATCATCGCGTGGAAACTGCATGAGCTGTGTGCACTTGACTTCAACCACGTGTTGTGTCGAGCTGTTTGTCCTGGAACACCCTTCCGCAAGCGAACCCATCCATCGTCGTCCCGTGATATCGACGTCTCGTCCGCAGGCGTCGTGCAACTCGCGGCCGCACTCGACACCGTCCCACCTGCCTCCATGCGCGATTACTCCGCCATCCTTGGCCACATCCTGGCCACATACGTCGACACATCATGCTCCCAACACCCACGACAGGTCTCGCCCCCTGTGCTGCGCATCGCCGTCCACGCGCTCGTCCGCCATCTCTGCGACGTGCAACGCGCCGGTAGTTCGTACCTCCCCCTCCTTCAGCACATTTCGCCCGCTTTGGCCTCACATCCAGCCATGCAAACCCTGCTCAAAACCCAATTGCTCGCCCATGTAACCGCGCCACCGTACTTGTTGAAGCGACGCGTTTCTTTGCACCACGAAGCGTTCGTTCTAGCGTTTCGACGGAGCTTGTCCATAACGTCCTTTGCCGCGGTACAGTAATATGTCATCCCATGGCTAGTAGTAGTACTAGTATGACTACGACCTTGCTAACATGTTCCTGTGTATTGTATGTATATATTATATACTAGTATATACTTCCCTTTTACCCAGAATTTGGTCGTTTGTGTGTTGATTCGCCAAATCTATCGATCGATTCTTTGTACTGATCAAAATGGTCCAGTTTCACACTATTTTAAGTCACACACTAATTTGATGTTGGCTTGGTTGAAGAGTGGATAATTTGATTGGCTGCTTGAGTATTGATCTGGGTTTTGATGGGTCGACGATATATATCGATTGCCGACCGACTTGGTGATTCTGCTCATTCGATTCCAAACATTCCAATATCGAATCGACTGGACAATACACGTGTACATATATAGGTCGTGAAAGACTTTTTCTGGACGCGACCGTGGCACGTCGATCCATTTTGGGCGGCGTTGTTTGCCGCGTTCGGTGGTACTACTAGTACAAACCACAGGGGGGATAGTAATACTAGTAGTACTGCCTCCCTTCTGCTTGGCGTCGCGCATGCGTTTGGGTCCCATGCCGTCCTCACCATGAACGCCACCCTCCTCCACGCCAGCGTGTCCCTAGCCGCCCAAGTCACGACCCTCCCTGACTACTCTGTCTGGTTCCACTCGCACTTTGGAAGCCCCGACCACGCAACTACTACTAGTACTACTAGTACTAGTCCTAGTACTTTTCCGCCCGGCGAAGCGTGTCCTGGCCAATCGTGTGCATTGGTCACGAATAAGCGCACAGTGCAGTTTGTCGTGGCGTGCTTTGTGGAGACCCTACCCCTGGAATCGTCTCGACACCATTTGGATGTGCAATTTCAGGTGCTCAAACGTCACGCTGCCACGTACCCCGACTTTGTCTTGCACTACATTCAACTGGCCCGCCGTAAACTGAACGCGTTGGCGGCCTCCTCATCCTCTCCAAACCACAAAGATAACAATAACCACGACCTTGAAGACCACATCAATACGTTTCTCGACACTGGCAAGGTCCCCGCCCCGATCCGGACGCGCCTCTTGCTCCAAGATGCAACTTGGCACGGAAAGCTCAAGCCGGCGCTGCTGGCCGCGCGGGACGTCGGCAGCCACGTGCTGTCGCTCGGGTGGATGCAGCTGGTGCACACGTTGGCGCGAGAAGGCGCCATCCGACATTCCGAGTACGCGCCATTTGTGGCGGCAATGCATGGAATCGTCCAAGTCCGCACGGCGAGTCGAGGAGCAGAGTGCCCCGTGGACCAGTTAGCCACCGAGTTGGTTGATTCGATGGCGGGGACTTGTACTCTTCCGCCCATGTCGGCCGATCTGGGCACTCGGATGGTCCGGCGGCTGCAGACTCTTCCACACATCAAGGCGAAAACGATCGAGTTTGTACATGGCGGCGCGCTTTTGACAGCCACGGGGCCAAACTGGCCCGCCACGAAGCCACTTGTCGTGGATATGTGGACGGATGGCCTGAACCACGACCAGCAACTGCACGTGCTGACGCATCTTGAAACGACGATTCGACAGCTACTAGGTCTGGGGACGACGACGACAGACGACCCCGATCCTACTATCGCAACTAGTACTACTACTACCAGTAGTAGTACTACCAACGACGACGACAAGATCGGGATGGTGCTGACATCCCTCGCGCGACTGCTCTGCATTGCCATGACCACCCATGCCGACCAAGTTACGACGTTCCTCAACGACTTGGTGCGCCCTCCCATCGACTTTACCCCCCACCATCAACACACTCGTCCCATGCATGCCTTGACTAGGTTGTGCACCCACGTCGTTACTTGCTTGGGTACTAACTACTACTAGTACTACTACATTGTACTACTACTACCTTCAGATGCATCTGTCAACCTATTATAGTACCTTTTACCCCAAAGTTGGACTTTTGTGCTGATTCTTTGCCAAATCCATCGATATATCGATTCTTTGTATTGACTTTTGTATGTCCAGTGTCACACTAATTTAAGCCACACACTAATTCGATGTTGACTTGGTCGAATGTGAGTGGAGAATTTGATTGGCCACTTGATTCGTGTTGTGTGTTTTGATTGGTCGTACATCGATTGCCTGCGGATTTGGTGATTCAACAAATTTTTGAAACTATCTATAATAATAAAAAGTGACAAAATAGTAATATTTTCAAGGATTTTTTTAACTTCTTCACCTTATTCTATATTTTTAATATATTTAACAGATAATATTTTAGTACGATCATAAATAAATAATATGTTTATATATTTTTTAAATTTTTTATTAATATACCAAATAAAATTGGAGGTGTTATAGCTACTCCTTCGATTAACCACCCAACTACCGCTGCTCGAATTTCGAATATATGGACAATCCATACCTATCTATATTCATTAGTATGAACCTATGTATGTATGGTAGGTGGTGCAGGTCAACCAACCGATGCAACCATTGGCAAAAACGTTCCTCGAGGAGTTGTGCAGTTTCTCCAGTGGATCCAAGCTCGACATGTATATGGAGGAAGCGGAGAAGAAGTGGTAGCTGGGTCGTTGGATCATCTGCCAAGTCCTGAAGACTATTTTGCGATCTGGCTAGCCTATGAATTGCACCAACCCAAGCACCGAAACGAGGCGGTTGTGTCGACGTCATTGTATCGTCTGGACTGCATGTCGACGATGTTTATGCAAATGCACAAGACCAGCAGCCTCCAACTCTCGTCTGCCATCACAACTGTGTGTAGCTTGGGCAAGGAACTGCTGCGCCACCAAGGTACAGAATGTTTCGAATCCACATGTGACACTGTTTTACGCTAGCCGATTGTTTTGACGATTGCCACATGGCCTTGACTCCCTCAACGCGACCTCCAACAGACCACATTGTACGTCGATTCGTAACCATCCATCTGACCATCAAATTCCCGCCATATCTCCTTGTCATTCGCTCTTCTAACTAGCGTCGCTCTTGGTTGTGTACATACCAGGTCCACCCAGCGTGGGCCGCTCAACGGCCGAGCCATCCCTCAACACGAAACAGTCCCCCACTCTCGCATTGCCAACTAGAGTCTGGCCTCATGCTGTTCCATCAGGTGGTGCCCCTGCTATTTGCCAACCCCGGCGACATCCAACCCGCCAACCTCCACACGGCGCTGGTCAAGACCTTTGTCGACGCAGCCGGCGCCGTCCTCGTCGTTGGCGGCACGCCGGGCCGGACGGCCCGCGTCTGCCAGATGCTCGTGGAACTCCTACATGTGTGCTATGCCCACAGCCGAGTCCTTGTATCAAGGGACCGAGTTCTTGTATCAAGCGGAGCATACACCCCCCCGCCCAAACTCCAGCACACGGTGCGGTCGTTCGTGAGGCGGCATCTACATGCGATCGCGCCGTGGCCACCCCGCGTGACGAGCATGTTGAACCTCCTCTTGACAGACGTAGCCGATCGGGCGTTTCCATCCTCGACTCATCAGGACGGGGATGCCGACGACCTGGTGGTGGCGTGCCTGGCAGTGTCGGCGCCGCACCTCCAGCCGCCGCCGGCCCCCGTGTACGCGCACCTCCACGCTGCACTCTGTCACAGCCCTTCTTCTTCTTCTTCAACCGCCTCGTCCCTTGCACGACTGCATACCCAAGTATCGCTAGACCATCCTGCTGCCATTGACATGACGTTATCAGTGCTGAGGCATTGGCTAGCCTGGACCCAGCAGCACACTCCACCACCCCGAGCGCAAGACGTTCTAGCCCACCTCCACAACACCACCAACACCCTCGTGCTGCTCGAACGCATCTGTCACATGTACTTGTCACCAACTCGACCAATTGCCATCGTTCCTGCGGCGTTTCTCACAGTGTTACTGCAACTGACCCACCAGTTGCTCAGCCACGACACACAACGGGTCGGCCACTGGCTAGTCGAGTACTACGCTGCAGCACATAGCACCCATCCTCGTGACCATACATCGCCGCCTGCAGTGTGGTTTCTACTCGTGCTCACCCAATGCAGTCCATCACTGCTGGATGAGTGCGTTCGAGTGCATGGGACGATGTGGCTGGAGCAGACCTGCCGCGCCTTCCTCGCCGTCCGCCGCCTCCCGCCCGAGCACACGCCTCCCATCCCGTCCATCGCTCTTGCCAGGTATTATTGTCCTTTTACCCATATATTTGGACGTTTGGGCTGAACCATCGATCGATTCTTTGACCTGACTTTTGTATGTCAAATGGTGGTACTACTTTAAAGTCATACACTCATTCAATGGATTTGATTGGCCACTTGATGAATGCTCTGGGTTTTGATTGGTCGTATATCGATTGTCTGCCAATTTGGCTCCACATATTATTGTGGTATATTCGGTACAAATGTCCAGACCCCGTCGAATCGAATCACGAATCATCGACGCTATTGGCTAATCTAATTTTGAGTGGATTTGATTGGCCCTAGGACAAGTATTTTCAACCAATCAGAACTCCAGTATGATTCAATATTGATTAGACAAACCACGCGAATGTTAGAAGGTTATAGCGAATTCACAATACTATTAGTACATACAGTGTAGTTAGTAGTACTCCATCGTACAACTACTAGTCCGAACGGTAGTCATGTTGTCATGGTCGTAGGTTTCCCAGTGTGCTCGACGAAGTGTTGGCCAGCGCACGTCGCCATTCAGTCGCGTTTTCCACCGCCCACTACCTCATGCACCTTGGACCAGTGGTATCCCATCACTTGCAAGTGAAACTGCAAAGCCTTCGAATTCTAGACGACGACGACGACGACACCCACGAGGACGTGCGCTCTCAATCGCCACCTCCATATGAACCACTCGTGTTCAACAACCAACTACACGCTTGGGAGTAGATTAACTAACCACGCCTTCTCACAGCGCCACGTAATTGGCGTAGTGATGGCGTCGATTCGCTAGTCGGATCGCCATCACCATCACTGCCACCACCACAACCACCATCAGAGCCCCTTGCATCGTCATGGAGGCTGCTTCACGTCCATCTTGCCCAAGAACGTCCGTCTCCGTTGTGTCCTCTACTTGCATGGCTGTGGGCACGGAAGGAGCGTCTGCCGCCGCCATGAGGATGGACATCCCCACAACCACCCCCGTCTCCCCCGTGAGTCGCTCCAGCCCGTCCGACGGGTACACGAACGACTCGCACTTGACACTTCCGTACACAAAGCACTCAAACAGGTACAGCGCATGCAGCGGCCGGTTGGCGGCGACCATATGCCCCGCCCCCTTGACCGTTTTGAACGTCAAGTTGGTGTACTCCTGCGTGTACCCCGCGAGCTGCTTGTCCGGGCCAAACCATGCTCGCCAGTCCTGCGATACTGTCAGGTTCAGGCCTTCGTCTGTGATCCAGCGCTCCGTGCCAATGAAATTCACCACCGAGTCGGCGTCCCCGCTGTAAATCAACGCCTTGAGCCCTACCCCACCACAATGCACCGAGTTAGTCGTTGTATACTTATTGTAAGAGTAAATGAAAATCTGGCAATAGATAATGAAATAATAGATAGATATGAATTGTAACTGCCAACTTGCCCAATCGGAAGGAAGTTCGTGAATGAATGTACTACCAAGGAAAACAGAACAGTTCTAGTAAATGAATCCTGAAATAGATAATACAGGCGGCGGATAGATGAAACATGTGTAACTGTCAGAAAAAGGTGGATTTCTGTCGTACCTGCAGACAAGATGCGCGGATACAGCGGGAGCGCAGACGGACTGCGCGTGTACATGCGCGTGACTTTGTGGTTGCAGTCGGCCCACGGCACATGGTCTCCCTCCACATGCAGGGCGCGTTGCACGACATTCAGCTGTAGATACGACTTGGTGAACACGTCTTGGCATGGTCCAATGTCGCCTCGCGGGAGGATCGCGCGCTGATGCAACGGGTAATGCAAGGCGTTGGCTTGACCGTTCTCCAATAAGCACACGTCGCCGTAAATGTTGTACGGGTTCAACGCTTGCTTGTCGACCTGGAGGATGCCGGCGTGCAGCGCCTTGGTGCAGTCGGCGGAGCAGTTGTGGCGGGAGCTGAGGCACATGCGGATCACTTCGCCGACGCATGCCGCGGTCGTCTTCTTGTAGTTTTGGCGCGATATCATGCCGTGGGTGTAGTAGTAATCCATGAGCGCATTCCCGTCGACCTTGTCGTCTGTGGCGGGGTTGCCGATGGAAAACCCACGCAATGACACGTTCGCAATGGGATGCAACACCAACTTGTGCACGAGATACGGGATGTATCGACCCGCGTAGCTTTCCCCCATGATGTAGAACGGGCGGTGAAGATAAGCCGGATACATGTCGAAGAAGCGCTCGAGGAACTCGTACGCGTTGGCCGCGGTCGTGTCTTCGGTGTAATCGGACGCGTTCAGGAGCGGAGTCGAGAACCCGACGCCCGCGGGAGACTCGAGGAACAGCATGTTCGCCTTGCGGTTCCAGGCGTACTTGTTACGTTTGACACTGAGGTCCCCTTCCACGACAAACGGACCGAGTTCCGTGAACAAACCCGCCAACGACGAACACCCAGGACCGCCATTCAGCCACAGCACGAGGGGGTCGGTGCGGGGGTCGCTCTCCGAGTGCACAAGCCAGTAGAACAGCTCGACCCCAGGCTTGGACAACGGAATCCGGCCAGCGTACATGTCAAAGTCGATGGGGTGTTCGTCGTTAAAGTTGGGCAAAGATTTGACCTTGTGGTGGTTGTTTGCTCCCTCGTCGTCGTTGTTGCTCCCGTTGGCTCGATGCGCCTTGCTATGCTCATGTTCATCACCGGTGGCGCAGACATCACCTAGAATCGCTGCCATGGCTATAGCCGCCATCCATCCAAGCCCAATGCGCATGGTGAAGTGCGGACGACAAAGAAAATCGAAAAGTATCCATGCCAGCCAGCATTGCGCCGTGAAGATTCAATATCCGGATAATACCCGGCAGCATTCGGATAATCTGACCTTTCGTGCTGGGGTCCTCACGTTGTTCACAATCGCTACAATCTTCCGGATATGCTTTTCCGAAAGAGATGAATAAGTTATCGTCATCAACATGGGATACAGTATGTTTTTCCGAATGTGCTCAATAAGTTATCTTCATGAACATGGTGGTCGGGAGAGTGACGGACCCCCGAAGGCGACGGCTGACAGAATGTCGCCGCGCGTTACGCTAGTGGCCTCGGCCGCTCGCAAGTCCACAGTGAACAAGTCCTACGTCCATTCAGTGGACCCAGTGCCCAGCTGAAGCATCCGTTCGCTCCGCATCGGCTCCTCAACTCCCGCTCCCTCACACCTCCCAAGTTGGGAGGTGTGAGGGAGCGGGTTGGGAGTCCCAACCTTCGCAGCCGCCTCCAGTCCTACTGGGCCCACACCGATCGCATCGCCATCCCTACGCCCCATATGTTACATGGGCGCCCACCATTCGAAACACACGACCGCTCCGCCTTATCGCGAACAATGTCCACAGCTGGCACCATCCCGCACGGACACCGAACTTGTTCCACAGATGCGAACTCGTCAAAGGCAAATATTGTCAAGTCGATTCGAAATTGGAGTGGGATGCTCAATCGAATGAGCAGCACCACATCGGCAGACAATCGATCGACCAATCAAAAGCCACAACATGAATCAAGTGGCCAATCAAATCCCCTCTTGGACCATTCAACATTGAATTAGTGTGTGAATGAAATTAATGTGACACTGGACGATTTTTGCATACAAACGTCAGTACAGCCCTAACAGGTCCAAATTCCTTCCTTCATGAACATGGTATTTAAAGCATGGCATACTGCTTCTTGCGGTAGTCCAGCCGCAACTTCGTCAACATCGCGACGGCAATACCCACCAGCACGATGAGGATTCCATACAAGGACCAGTTGACATGGTTAGCAGGGTGCGGGAGGTCGACGGTATCGCTTCCATCGCCAAAGCACGCATCCAGGTCTTCCCCAGTCAAGCACTCTGCAGAGTTTCGGGGGTACGTGAAATTGTTGCAAGCATCGTGCCCAAGCGCAAAGCACTCGAACATGTACAGCGCATGCAACGGGCGAACGGCTGGCACCATATGCCCCGCCCCTTTCACCGTTTTGAACGTCAACCCACCGGCATATTCCTCCGAATACCCCGCCAGCTGCTTGTCTGGGCCAAACCACGCTCGCCACTTGTCCGTCACTTTTAATCCGAGCCCTTCGGTCGAGATCCATCGCTGGGTGCCCATAAAGTTGACCACCATGTCCGCGTCGCCGCTGTAAATCAAGGCTTTGATTCCAGCTGTCAAGATTGCAGGGTACAGCTCCATCGAAGAACTGCTTCGAACGTACATATGGCCGACAGCATTGCTGCAGTGCCGCCATCCCACTGATTTCAAATGGGAAAGGTGCAACGCTTCCTGCACGAGTGGTTGGCGCAGGTACTCTTGCGTGAACGTATTCGTACACGGAGTAGTGACAGCGTCGGATAATGGAGTGAATGGCGGGCGCAAGTTCCGGTACTTCAACGGATGCGCTTGTGACTTGTTGAGCAGACACACGTCGCCATAGATGTAATATCGATTCAACGCTGGCTCGTCGATGGATAGAATTCCATCTTGGAGGGCTGCTTCGCATGCTGCCGAGCAGTTGGCACTGGACACGACGCATCGGCCGACGTTATCCCCACAAGCCGCACCGACAGCCATGTAATTCTCCAGCGAGATCAGCCCGTGGGTGTAGTAGTAGTCCACGTACGAGTTGTGGTCAATCTCGTAGTTGGTGGAAGGGTTGCCAATGAGAAACCCAACCAAGTGGACCTTCGGCAGCGGCGACGCGAGCAACTTGGTGATGAGGAACGGAATGTACCGACCCGCATAGCTTTCCCCGGCAATGTAGAAC